ATAGTTTAGGTGTATAGTATCATCAGCAAACTGTAAGTTGATGATGATAATAAGTCTCTAAAGTCATTTATAGACTATCCTACTGATATATGTGTGATTGCATTGAAATGATATAAGGATGAGAGTTTAAGAATTCAGCCTCGTGTTACATCCCAATTGGAAATGTGTTTTCTCGGATAATTCGCAAACATTAATCAACGAATAGAAAACATTCTGTAGAATTTATGAAACTCATTAACTGACGCAATACTTTTGCAGACATTAATGTTTACTCAATAAAGCGAGATTTGTATATTTCGGCTGCATAAAACGAGTAAGTGGTATCCTGGCAATACCAATGACTACAACAAATCTTGGAATTATGCACTACAACTTTCACTTTACTGAATACTCCAGCAGATTTTAAATAAACACTTGACAAATATCAAATTCATACAGGAAGTCAGTAAGATTTACTAAACTAAAAGCACTTTCGGTTTACATAGGAGTTCTCCATGCCGAATTTATTCCTCCAAGGGCCTACACAGATTACAACTTCAATTAAATAACATTGACGTTGAAGAAATTCCATTCTTCATTGCTAAACTTAATGATAATAATGTTTTTATTCTAGAAACAGGAGCATTCTTAATGTTTTACTTTATGTAAATACAGTTACATACAGTTGCACTAAGAACTCAATGCAACTCGGTGCACAATAGTATATACACAAATAAACTGAAAAATAACGTCCTCCTTACCTTCTGAACAAATTATCCTTATTACAGGATAATAACTTTCTTTCACGTATGAGCCTGAGATATGTCTATGAAATCACAATATTATATCAGTTAAATCTCGCCCCGAAACCAAGGCCACTTGAAACCAATAGCAACATAGAGACAAGCGTCATTGAGGGGATATGCAATAAAGTCGCTCTGTTATTTGGGATACCACAAGAGGGAAACCACGTTGTTAACTATGGATGAACTTAAGGTGACATTTAGAGAAGATTGGTGTATTTACTTAAAAAGAGGTTGTTAAATTTTGCCCTTTAGGAGAACTAAGACTACCTACATTCAGAGTTTTGGCGAATAGGATATACACTATCAAAAAGAACAGAAAACGTTTTCGACACTTTCTAAGTTGCATAGACGCCTTTTGTTGGTCTTTCGGGCACTAAAGTTTTCAGTACAATTGGTTGATGGCTCACTGCATGAAAAATTTGCGAGGAAGTGAGTTTCATTTTATGGTTTAGCCTTTAGAGATAGGCACCTGATTCGCGTTTTAAAGTCTTGAATAAACGAACCGAAAAATATATAGTCTTGTTCATATCATGTTTCGACAAATATAAGATTACGAATCATTGGAACAGTAAAAACGGAGGGCAATTCTTATACACAACAAGAATTTAAATTATCGAATGAGAAAATCGGTGTTCCTGTTCAGGTGGATAACTGATCTCAGTTGTTTTCAGTTACTGACGTTCAGCTTCCCATTTTTACTTTCTCAGTTCCACTCAGATCCTTTAAATGCTTCAGAACATCCATTAAGAGTGAATATGTATCAAATGGATGCTGAGTGGAAATGATATGATTACTGGTACAAGGTCGTCTTGCAGACCAAGCACGTGGGTTAAGATTCTTCGTTTTTACTACAGAAATAAACCGCCTAAATCCAATTACAGTATACGAGCACCCATTAGGGCACTCAAATTCATCATCTACAACATGTGAAGAGACAAATTTATCACCTCAGTACGCAGAACTCCGGAAACAATAATTCTGAGAAACAGACACCAGTAAAAAGCATACAAATACCTACTTATCACAAAGTATCCTCCCCTAGTTTACCAGTTCACTAGTTTCCTAGCCAGTCCTAATCCCTGTAAAAGAGAGAAGGTGAGGAGTAGGGCTAGTGACTCCCCCCGAAAAATCGATCGAGTCACAGCAGAAACCTCAAAGCACAACACAAATATGAAAAACAAACTTACTCTTCGCAGGAATCGGAGAGGCGAAGTGACACGGGCTGGTGAAAGTCTTCGGGAAGCCAGTAAGCCGATTTGTCTTCTCCCAGTGAACACAAGAACAAGAATAGGAACGTGGAATGTACACACAGTGTATGAGGCCCAGAGGGCTGCCCAGGTAGCCACAGAAATGCGAAGATATTGTATAGAAGTACTGGGAATCTGCGAGAGCATGTGGAATGAATGTGAACTGTCGATATTGGCAACTGGTGAGTCAGTAATCCACAGTAATCACCCAGATGATAACCACTAGCACACCAAGGCATTAGTGGTTCTCATGGTGTCACCAACAGTGCCCAAAGCTCCAATGCAGCTGGACCAATATCATTCAGGAAAACGGCAGCAAGATTCAATCTAAAATGGAGGAAAGCTATGATCCGATTCAACGCTTCTACGAACAACGCAGACCCAGTCAAGAACAAGGAAGACTTCTAAAGACAACTGTAAACAGCAATGGGTAAGATACTAGTGGAAGGTATGAGTGCTGAACTGGGGTAGACAGTGTAGGAAGGGAATTTATCAAAGGTCGAGAGGCTTTCCGAGAAATGAATAACAGTGGAGAACTCTTTGCAGATATCTGTGCATTCAGCGGTTTGGTGATGTTAATAACTGTGTACAAAAACACGGATATGCACAAGGTGACACGGATTTTACCTGACGAGTACACCGAAAATCAAATGTACTCCATCTCAATCTCAAAAAGGTGGAGAGGCAGCCTGCTGGACGTGAAGTTGAGAAGGGGAATAGATGTAGGCTCACATCAAAGTCGATGACATCACATAGCATCATTGTGGAAACTTATGCGGAGAAACACTGGAGCTATCAGGAAACCTGTACAGTCATATTGTGAAGAAAGAGACGGCAAAACAAGGGATGGATCTCTAAGGAAACCCGGAAGCTAACAAAGCGAGAAAGAAAAAGAACGAGTACAAAGATGGATAACGGAAGGAGAGGCTAATGTTAATGTATAATGAACTGAATAAACAGGTGAAGAAAAGAGCTACGAAAGGTAGAAGCCAGTTTTACATGACACAGGCCACTGAAGCAGAAGCGACCCCTGGGGAAAAGGGACCTTAGGACATTATATCAGATAATCAAGTCTGCCTTCGGGAAGAGACGAACGCAGATGAGATCAAAGAAGGATACTGAAAGGATATTAATCACAAAATAGGAGGAGCTATGTGAACATTGGATTAATCACTTCAGGGGACTCCTTAGCCGGCCATCAACTGAAACTCGTCCAAACGTATCAAGAATAGCATGCACAGAATTGCCTGTAAACACCAACCCTCCAAAAGCAGCTGCATTCTGGAAAAGCAAATCATGTGCTGATCGAATCGCAACTCTAACCATCACCACCAAACAGAGCATAATATAGCACGTAAATCTCAAACCCGGCTTCGTGAACTTTAAATAGGCTTTCGGTATCGTTGGAAACTACTTCCACACTGCAGAAAGCCCAAAACTATTATCAACCTCATTCCATAGCTATATGACAACAGCACGTGTCAGTTGATCCTAAATAGGAAACTAAGTGAAGCCTCTGAAGTGAATGCAGGAGTAAGACAAAGCTGCTGCCTACTATCACCGATGATATTCCTAGTTGTGTTAAACTGGATTATATGGGAGACTGTGGTGAGCGAGAAGACAGGAATACGTCGGACTGACAAGGAGACACTACAAGATATGGGCTTCGCAGACGACTGATGTCTAATGCCACACCAACACAAAGACCTGCAGGTGAAAACCAAAAATCTGGTAGAAGAGGCAGCGAAGACAAGATCTCAACATTGAAATTATTGAGGCGTAAATGATAACAGCTTTATTCCAAGCAGCATTTTCGCTTGCAGATAGCCGACCAACTACAAGTACCATCCACCACTGCATTTGGAATCTGCCAATCCCCCCTCTTTAGTAGACATCATCATCCCAACCACAGGAGGGCAGCACAGATGAAGACGTGAAAACCAGAACCGGGAAGGTGAGACAGACCATCATTATTCTGAATTCAGTTTGAAAATCCTCTGAACTGAGCAAAAGGAACAAAATTAGGGTTTCGAACGCCAATTTTAAGTCGGTTCTTTCATATGGCACCCTCATCACGAAAAGCATTTCCAATAGGTTGCGGACTATTAGATGGTTGGAGGCAATTGTGCTATTCGCACTGGTCAGCAAGGCTTTGATGCTCCAAAGAAAAGGCTAAACACATCACACCAGTTACCAGTGTCCAATCAAAGATTGCAGACTTATCTTTTTTTATCACAGCTTGATTCCACACCGTATTTTTGGGTACAGGTATGAAATTTTCAGTATGTGATATCGGTAGCCCAAATTTTGCAGGCCGACCATAGATATCAGGTGTGCGTCAGCAGGGTATCGAACCCCGGACTATGTGCATGATCCGCGAGAGTCATAACCGCTGTGCCACCGGCGCACCAACAGGTGTCTTCAGCCCATACTAAAGACCAGATGAATGGCCAGAAAGTTAAAGCAGTATGGAACAGTGACAGAAAACCAACCAATAAATATCTTGAAGAAAATGGAGATGGATCAGACGTACGCTGAGGAGGCCGCTGAGTGATATCACTTCCCGGGCCCTCGAGGGGAACGCAAATGGGAGGCCACGAGTTAGGCGTGGGTCTGAGGGTGACATGGAAATCATGTGAGTAGAAAATCAGGGCTTATGAGCAGTAGAAGAACCAACTAAATAGGACTTCAGAAAACTTGATAAGATGGGGATGTGCCGCCGAAGCTCAATGTTCCACTCGGAAACCTATGGAATAATAATATTATAATAAAATAGTGATTGACACCAAGTACTTCAGACAGGATTGGTCTAATACTGAACCCCATCAATGGGTTTTGAAAAATGAACGGCTTTAACCCTTAACAAGCCATCAAGAAGGGAACTCGAAGGAGTCAGCTCGGTTCTTGAAATTGGTTGTTGCACTGAAATACCGGGCTTTTAAATCTGAGGCTGCTGACCTCGAGGTGGGTTTCTTTTGGTTGCGAGGACTGCTAACTGGTTAAATCTTTGCTTGTTGTCCAACTCTTAAGATGTTTAAAGGCGAAAAACACATTCCTCTTCGTAGTTACAACAAGAAAAGCCTCATAAAATTAATGTGACGAAATCTGAGTTTCTTCTCAAGAAACTTTAAGGTTTTTGGAGAAATCTAGATTCACAGAATTATTGGAATTGGTGACGGTAATATCATTTAGACCAAATAAAATGTTCCAGCGCTTTTTCATTGCCAATTTTATTAAGCCGTAGTTATAACTTCCGTTTTTCAACTTGTGCACCCGTATCTTAAGATACACTATAATTATAGTGTATTAGATGAGCATGAGCAGATATGGGCCTGTCCTATTATCTAAAATTATTTTGTGTCACGAGAAAAACCAGAATGCCTTTGACGTACATCTGTGTAGATGATGATACATGGAAGCTTAGAAGTACCTATGAGAATGCCTCATGGCAGATAATTGTATAATTATTGGTGTCAGTCACCGTCTTAACTGATAGTCTTCAATTTCCGCAGAGTATCTAGAGGGATATCGCCATGTTGCTAATGATGACAATGTTGTTGCTACTAGGGTATTTTGAGCGACTTCGTTTTACCGGACTCCGCTTTATTCTAAATTCTCCATATTCCTCACACGCTAGACTAGTCAATTCTAAACTTTCAGTTTGTATTTTGTCTTGTCTGGGTTACTATTCTTGTGTTTGGATTTCAGGTTTCGAGGAGCTATCTAACTGGCTTTTCTAAATTCATTAAATAAAATTTACAGTGGTTTTACTTTTGATATTCCGTCTGGTCTTCGCTAAAAGAAGAAAAGGGTTTTATAGATTGTACTGTAGCATAGATATTAGTTCCAAGTAGGTATCTAATGAACAAGTATAAATCATTGTAGCGCATTCCGAACAACACTTAGGTTATATGATGACATCGTTGAAATCCACATTGATTGTGTTTCTCCGTATGGCTTAATTCTGACCATCCGATTAGTTTATAGGTGTCGTGATTCTGTCATATTAAATACTATTCCCTTTTTTTATTAGACGCGGCTTTGAATCTCAGAAGGGGCATTAGTTCCTTAAGGGTTGCAGATGCGTTTCTCTGACGAGGGCCAACAGACACGTAACTTAGGCGGATGGTTTCCTGCCGAATGCCTCCAATCATCTAGTTGTTGCCTTTGTAAGCCGTGTTGACACCCAGTTATAAGTGTTTGGTTCCGCATTTTCATCATACAACGTACAATCAAATTACCAGTAAAGAAAGGAATGTAATAGCACTACAGTAGAAGATGTACCGTGGCGTAACAATTACCTTTGGAGCATGTAAACTGGCAGTAAATTTCTGCATCGTTGATCCAGGTGCTCTAACTTCATCAGAGTTCATCTTGAGCAGTCAGGAAACGTGATTCGTTCCAGTTATTTTTTTGTGCCCTGTTGCATAAAGGTCTCTACAGTCATTAAGTCGGTGTATCGTCGTTACTGTTATTACTACCAATTGGTCAGCTGTAGAATGCTCGCAAACATTCATGGGGTCCGGGATTCGATCCCCAGCCGACGCACTACCTTACCTCGCTAAACCGGTAAAAGGGAAAGGTTGGACTTGAGACTAACAATCCCACTCCATAAAAAATAAACCTTCTGCCACCGAAACTTCAAAACTCTAGCTTGAACCCCCATGTCCCACGTGGAACTTCAAGGAATAAAGAAAAGTAGGGACATCCGTTTCAGTTCTGGGAATGAGGCTGCAATATGGTGATTTTTATATACCAAAACGTTTTGTTGGACTGGGTGTATGTTTTCTTCTAACTTTCCATAAAAATAGCCTGATTTCTACCTCTTCTTTCACTATACGTGATCCTTAGCAATGCTGAGAAGTCCTGAGATAGTGTGCTAATCAGTAACCTTCGGAGTTATTTAAGACGCTAGACAAAGTAGTTAAAATATCATTATTAGGTTTACTCTTCCTGAGATATCGACCTAAATCTCTTGCTCACCTCGATTAGCGGTGGTTTACAATTTAGTTAGCTAACGTAAGTTCTTTATCCAAATGTCAGATGAATCTCAGACTACTCACTGCTTGATTACTTTTTAAAAAATAAATAATAAAATTACTTCGCTGTTATGCACAAATATTATAAACTCTATATTATGATAAAGTTGTAATTATTAATTTCTTTTTTTTTATCTTCAGATAAATATGGTTCCTACTTCGACAGAAACGTCGACTGAGTCTCAGTCGGTAGTAGACAGTGTAGAACCCGTAAAGGTGGATCCATATGCTGTAAGTACAAGCTCTTTGAAAACTAATTAAATACACAGAAACTGTTACCAACCGTTGCTCGTGCAGTTAGATTATCTCAAGAATTCCCTATATCGGACACTCCTGCTTATATTTATTATAATGATTTCCCACAATACAAGGCCGTTGCATCTGGACACTCTAGGAAAATCCTTTCCATGTAATCATGAGTTCATTTTTCATACATTCATTCAGTTTACAAAATATTTTGGATATTTTAGACGTCAAAGCCAATGTTCTAGACGTTCCAGTGGCCAAGAGTATTGAAGAGAAATTCACATCCATTGTCGATGCCAATGACAGAGTACTTGAAAAACTGGTATTTTTAAAATTATAATAAATAATTTATGACTTATACAATAACAGACAATGGCTATGGACTTTGAAGAAGATCCTAAACGTAAAGCATCATTCTTGGAGTCAAAAGCAGACGATTTAGTAGTTGCAGTTCATCGGAGAAATAAAACATCCCTTGAATGGTTAAAGAATAAAAATGTACGACTATTACATGTGAAATTAACTTTTTTTTTAGCTAGGAGAAGGCAACGATGAAAGTACTGAAGCATCTGATGGTGCAATAAGACTTTTGTCTTCTAAGAATATTGTCAGACCACAAGCATTATTTTCACGTCCACCGGACAACTCTCATCTACCCTTCCGACCATTAATAAAATCAAAACCGAATTGCATTGTTTCACTTTCTGGTAATTTCTTCCTAAAGTATATATCAATCTTTTTTTTAAAGAATCTCTACCTGAACACATAGAAGAGATGGAAGAGTAAGTATGTGAAATTCACTAACTAGTTATCGCATTCTCAAGGTATCCTCATCCATATCAACCAGAGTTGGAGGCTTTTTCCGGTTGTTTATCTACCTGGGAGGCAATGCTTTCAGAGGATTTTCCAACTAAACCTTTAGATGAGTCTTACCGCTTTGTTAACCAACTAGAAGCTCTTCAAGAGACTGTTAACGCTATTTCTGTTTGTAAATATATCGCAGTTGACTTGGAAGTAAGTTTACGCCTTCATATTTTACATCTTTATTAAGTCGTATATTTATCATTGCTTCTCAAGCTATCCTCCTAGCTGTGCTTGTTTGTGTTGGAATTGAGTGACCAATTTCAAGGTTAAACTATTGTTATTATTTCCTTGGGTTCCAAGTGGAACATAGGGCTTCAACTGCACATCTCTATTATGTCATGTTCCCCGCAGTCCTCTTCAGTTGCCCTACGACTACTCATAAAATTTTTTTCCTCTTCACACTATCTCCTCATGTGTCACCCTTCAACGCCCTAGATAAGTGAGAGAAGTGACTTCGTTCAAATTTCTTGCGTTGATGATGATTAGTGCTCATTGTTGTTATCGGTTAGGTATCTTCATCACCTCTGTGTCCTCTATGTTCACTTTAAGTGCATTATTCCCTGTCTCTGCTGCCACTTCACTGATTTTCACCCATAGGTCTTCGAGTTTGTGTAACATTACACATAAATCTCCACAAAGCTCAGATCTTCTAGAGTTTTCTTATCGGTCCACTGTATTCCTGTATTCTCGCTCCCAACCGTCTGAAGCATAATCCAGTCCACAACAATTAGGAATATCATCGGCGATAGTAGGCAGCAGCCTTGTCCTACCGCTGTATTCACTTCAAAGTGATCTCTGGGTTTTCCCATGTGGATCACTCGACAAGTGGCATTGTCATATCGATGTTGAATGAGGCTGTTAAACATTTGGAGTACTAAATGTGCGTGTTCAAAGAAAACATTAGAGAAAAGGTAATTATTCATCTGTTAACTTTTTTTTATGGTGTTATGACCCCATAACGACCATCAAGTAAAACGTCAATTCCCTATGCTTGAAAATGTTTCAGTCGTAGTTTCACTACTTATTTTCTGCCTAGTAGTATATGTTTAAAACTATAATTTTATCTCGAGCTTAATGGCAGTTAACTGGAGTGTATTCAGCCCATGATTACTCAGTGTCATTTTAGTATATGACTTTCACTCTTTTTATTTTGGGCTAAACATGTTGGGAGCTTGTCGACGTTTATTGGTCCTGATGTAAATAACAAGGTGCTGGTGTATCATCTAGCTATCTGGGGGGGGGATAATTATACGTATAAACTTGAAAGTAGCTTTTTAGCTCCTCCATTTTATCACTTTTTTATTCCGGACGTAACTAAACTTGCATTTGATCGGAAAAAATACAACTACAAAAAGAAGAATGTTAAATAATAAGGTATAGTAACATTACGGCCTACTTCAGGGGAATTCTATGTGTTATATGTATAAAACTTCGGCATTATGGTAATGTGTGTAGATACATATCAACTTGTTTATTGGATATATCGCAAAGTGAAACAGTATTATTACTTTACAGATGACGTTTGAAACACAATTCATCGTTCGCAGTCATGTCATTTGAAACTACACAACTTCGAAATATGATTTTTACAGTTCTCTTTCTTCCCTTGTATTTTTCGTAGCAAGTATATAAGAAATTCTAAGAATAAAGTCATTAATAATAATAATAAGGACGACATGCATGACAGACATACCAGGAAGAATGGCAACACCAAAAATATGGAATTTAAAAGACCAGTAGTACTTCCATAGAAGGAAGGGGACCTATGAAACTTTACATAGAATTCTCTTAATAAGTAGGAATAAAAATCGTATTCAAACCCACAAATTCTGTGGACTAAAGGACCCTGTGGAGTCCATTAAACAAAATAAATTCGTTTATCTAATATCCTGCAATGATTCTTAGGTCAAAACAGTAGGACAGAGTCACTTAGATTAACGGAGCAGAAAAATCCTAGCAAAATCTAGATTACTAGTTGACTGGAATAAGACAATAAAGCAATCTAGAAAATAGCTCAGCTTAAGCACTACATCCAATTATACACAACCACATAATGGGATGGGGGCAGAATGACAACGTGAGAATCTAATATAATAAAGTGGAGGGAGAGGTTGATAACTGAAGATTTATTTATCAAATCGACTAAGAATACTTGCCTTAGGAATGACTCAACACCTGTCAACCCGAACATCTGGATAATTCTACTACAAATAGGAAAGGCAAAGTTAAACTATCATAGCCAAAACCACAGTGACCCTGAACAACCAATCAGAATTCATATGCAATGAAACGGTCTTAGTGATGACATTAGATGACATTCTCATGGTATATAAATGTCACTGGAAGTAAAGATGAAATAACCTTCTGGGAAACTTTTGCATATGTATTCCTGAGAATTGGGAGTATAAATGTTCTCAAACTTAATAAGGGGAGTGGCTTTTGTCGATGAATAATTGAGATTAATCATATCATGAGAATATTATTCAACAGTGAATATTTTCATTGACCCTTCATATTATCTTTTAGTTCTGCCACAACTTCAATAGGTAGGCATATAATTGATTAGCGTTCAAATATACACTTTTATTATTTTAGTACAGTAAATTGCCTGTTGCATTTAAAATTGTTTTTTTAAATTTTTACCACCTTAGCACCATAATTTTCGTAGCTTCCTGGGGATCACATGTCTAATTCAAATTAGTACTTCAGATACTGACTACGTCATTGATGCTTTGGCCTTACGTGATCATTTGTCAATACTGAATGAAGTGTTTACCGATCCAAAAATAGTCAAGGTAAGACAACTTCATTCTGATGTATTCAATTTCCTGAAGAGGAATTTTTATTTTACTTGGTTTGGTATGAACCTACCTGCAAAAATCAAGTTGTAATCTATAGCCGAAAAAACAGAAATTTGCCCCGAATGACCATATTGTACCGGTTTTTTCATCATTTTTTGTCATTTTTACTCATTTGCGTTTCCGGTGAGACTTAGGGCCTTCAAGTTTCATTAGCAGTGGTGTTGTTTACTTTCTACAGGGGTGGGGTTGCTAGTTTCACGCACACAGCTTTCCCTCTTTATCGGTCTTATTCTCTACTAAGCGAGGTCTAGTTGTGCGTTGGCCGGGAATCAAACTGTAGACCACGTGAGCAGTGGTTGGCGGGCATTCTGTCAATGAACTACCGACGCAATCAAAACCAGGGAGTGCTGAATAGCTGTCTCATCCTGTTTCGGGACTCTTCAACAATAAGCACCCACCGGGGTTTAAACCCAGGACCTTCTGATTACAAGGCAAGCTAGTAGACCATTCAGCATTATCCATTAGACCAGTTGAATCGTATATCGGTAACTGATTGTTCTGAGAAGATCGTAGAAGTTTAGCAGTATGTGGATGGAAGTAGCTTCTGACAAGTATTTATTCACCACATCATTGTTTTAGAATGGGGTAGTTTTTGGGAAAAAAATTTGCTTTATTTAGTTCGTAAAATTGTTATAATATCCCTAAGTTTGTTGGATGGACTTGAGCACTTCCGCTGACTTTTATTGATCCGAAATACTTGGTCTCTGTTGACATGTCTGACTCTTTGACGATGCAGAATGGCTAACATGATGATGGGCACTGGATTCGAGTTTCAGTGGGAGTGCAAATGGATCCGGCTGAATCATACATGAGAAGAAACGCACATCGCGGACCGCAACGCTATCTAAAACCAACTAAATAACATTTGATCAATCATTTTACCTGTGTCTTTGTCGGATTATTGACCCTTCTTTTGCTTCATCGGTCAATATTCTTGAAACTGTTAAAAGTCGAGAAACGCTGCTTAGCCGCTTTGTTATGTATAACATCCACGAAGCGTTGAACCCAACAGCATTGAGAGTACACCACCATCTCAACTTCTGTAACGACTAGAACTCAAGTATGTCGGTCTAAACGCAGGAAACCAATCGATGCGTTCTTATGGTAGCAAAAAGACAGTTATATAAGATAAAATCTTTAGTACTCAACAATGCTGTTGGGCAGCTATACAGTCGAGGAATTCCTTATAATACAAAGTAATACTGAAAATCAAATAGAATATCATATTCCCAACAAGATGGGATCAAAACTCTATCGTCAGGAGTAAAACACCTTCCCCACTGACGGTCCAAGATTGAACAGTCCCATGAATTCATTGAAGCGAAATCTCAATCCTGAAAAAAACACGTTATCCTCGACAGTCCACCATCATCTAGTAGTGTAAAGTCAAACGCTAAGAATAGGAAGGAATCAACCACAAACGAAGGCCACTTTGAGATGATGATATACAGATCAAGGGGAGAAGGGGTGATCACTACACAATTAGCTGAAATGTTCAAATCAGCAACAATATTGTAAGTAGGATTGTTTAGAAGGGATTTTCCAACCACTTATTCCAGTACAACCATTTTATGGTTGCACTTAACTATTCTCAATTAGCGATATGTCGTTTATTGTTCAGACTTATCCAGTGTCTGTCTTATATTATTTTCTTTGTTCTTAGGGCTAAATCTTTGTTCAGTTAAAACAAGCATCGTAGCGCACCCTCTTGAACTAATTTATATCACCTAATTTTCATGTCTTCATGCTTTTCTATCCTCTAGATTGTGACTTGCCCTATCTCTCTCACACACTCCCACTTTTGGCATAATTCATTTATCATCATTGTCTGGTTTATAAATTCTTATCACATGCATGAAGTGTATGTGTGTGAATGACCCCTGAGTGGTTAATTTCCAATCCTTAAATTTATCCGGTCAAATGGTAATTCCTGACTTGTATTCCTTTTACAATGAGGTGGTGTGTTATGCACTCTTCTGCATGTCTGAAGGTCATACACTTTTACCCTAATCAAAATAATTATTACAGACAGACTTCAAAAGTATTTAGACTATGAGTGGGTGTGTTGTTTGCGAAGGGATTTAGATTTCGTCACGAATCAATATCAGTTAAAGATAATTGAAAACTAGGGTGGACAGTTGTTTCCTCTTGGTTTCGGATCTGTAGGTCTCCGATTCGATCCCTAGTGGAGTGCAGTAGTTCGAGTTGCCACACTCCATGGACCACACAAAGGAAGACAAAACAGAGAAAAAAGGAACCAAAAAGACGATAATAAGCAGAAATGTGAGGGAGAAAAAATACTAGTATGGAGAAACATTAGGGTATGATGGATGCTGGAAATCATGAGGAGTGAATGAATGCATCTGCACCATTGAGAACGACTCCGACCCATTTCACTAATAGTCTCTAGACATTGATTCTTATCATCCCGAAGACTCCAACCAGGCCAGTTTACACCTTACTACATGGCTGAAACCAACTGTCAAAGAGACTTCATGGGCTGATGGTATGGCTAACCCTAAACCTTTTCCAAACTAATCCAATGCCAGTGTGAAGAAGTGCGACCAGTGGAAAGCTGGTAAATACGACGCATAATGTCGCTACTAAAGAAGTGACAAATCTTCTTTGTTTGTCTTGTAGCTCAGTTGGTAGAGTGCTAGGCTAGTATTTTGCAGGCCACTGATTCCAGTTGTTTCACAATACATATTGTCAGCTCACCTTCAGTCATCACGTACGTGACATCAATCTGAGAATCGAAATGATATCCCAGATAGTATGACTAACAACTGCATCGTGTATTGTGTAACTTTATATTCTTTGTTACAACTAATGAGAGTTGTTGAAATGCGTTTGTTTTATTTTGTCCTCTGTCCACTTTTATGACAGTGAAATAAAGCTATTAAAAGTAGAAAATATGCTGTCTTTGACCATAGGGGTTTGCGTTCTCTCTCACTTATATTAGGTGATATAGTGCGGTTAGTAATATTGCAATTAAGTGTAGTGTCAAGTAAGAAGAGGAACTTAATCGATAAGGTTGTGAAGCTACGCTGATTGAAATGACCAGGACATGTGTTACGCATGCTAAGCCATCGCCCTCTCCGTCAATGTTAACCGATAATAGTTGAGGTTAGAAAAGAGTTAAGGGTGGTCAGATCAAATTTTGGAATCAGTTTATAAAGTCTTTGACAAATGGTTTGAGCCATGTAGCGAGTTGTAGACTGCCTATTAGGAGTCCTCGGGATGGTTACAACCAATTTAGGCTGCAGACTATTGGTTATATGGCTCAAAATCATTCTCAGTGGCTTAGATACATTCGGTCGGTCGGTTTTCGACATAGAACTTTGCACATATGTGCGGCAGTTCAAGTCGCCACAATCCATGTAGCACGCAAAGCAAGAGAAGAAAGTAGAAGAAATGCATAATATAGACAGATGCATTCACTCAGAAATAATACTAGTGCTATCAATCAAATACAGTCAGATGGGAAATAAGATGTTTTATGCGTTCATAAAAAGCCAACGCATTCTAATAGATATTTAGATTTTAATTCATCTCATCCGTTATCTGTCTGTAAAGGAAGGCTTAGTTAAGTGTCTAACAAACCGAGCAATAACACAAAGTAGTACAAAAAAACCTAAACGATGAAATGAAACAGATAGAAGAGGTATTGTTATTAAATAACTAACTATCCTATAAAATTCATTAGGAAGATCAGAAAAGGTCAAAAGCAAAATAAAAACAATGGTGAAATTAATAGTGATAACATAAATAAGAGAGAATATAAGGCGTTTACAGTTTTACTATATAAGGAGGGGACATCTGAGACCCTACGTAGGATTCTCAACAAAGCAGGAATTAGGGTATCACTTAAACCTACAAACTGTAAGTTAAAGGACCCTGTCGGCTGACCCAATTAGACAAAATAATATAATTTACAAAATATCTTGCGATGACTGTGAGTGAGGTCAACTACACTGGTCAAACGAGTACGTCGGGGGTAGTCAGATTGTCGGAACATAAGAATTTAGCTAAGGGAAGAATGGTTGACCCCGAGAAGATAAGTAATTTAGAAAGAGGAACTCCTCAATCGCACTGCATGCATCCCATCCAGAATCGATAAATGTAGATTTAGTTAAATGTTTATATAATCAGGCATGGAGCCTAACTAGTAAGTCAGTGGAAATAAAATCAAACAAATCAGAATTTACTCAGAAATGTATGAAGACCCATGGGAAAAATAATAGTAATGAAAATGATAACAATAACATGAAGTCTAAGTTTTTTTAAAATTTTTGATTACGGCTCGATTCCACATCGTATTTTTTAGTACAGCTATGGACTTTTCAGCATGTGATATCGGTAGCCCAAATTTTGAAGGCCGACCATAGATATCAGGTGTGCGTGGGCAGGGGATCGAACCCCGGACCATGTGCATGGTCGGCCAGAGTCCTAACCACTGTGCCTCTGTTGGTACTATCATATAAAGAAGAGACATCAGAGACCTTAAGCAGGATTCTCACTGGGGCTGGAATTAGTCGGGGTGGCATTTAAACCAACCGACAAACTCTCAGAGATAAACTTTGTCAGCTTAAGGACACAATAGATCCAATTAAGAAAAATAATATAATTCACCGAATACCATGTAATGACTGTGAAGTCAATTGCATAGGTCAAACTAGTAGATCAGAGTCAATTAGATTATCGGAACATAGAAATTTAGCTAAAGCTAGAATGATTGACTCTACTAAGTTAAATAACCTAGAAAACAGCCCGGTCATTGCATTGCATCGCATCGCATTCACTTGCGTGTAATCACACAACAGGATGGGACAAGGTGAAAGTTTTAAAAACGAATATAATTAGGTGAAGAGAACGGTTACTTATTGAATCAACACGAAACGAGTGCAGTCGAAATGACCCAACATCAATACCAGATATATGAAAAATTGCAATAAAAAACGTCAGGGAATTAGACTATATATCAAAGCAAGTTATCAAGTTGTGCGAATACATTGAGATATGGTATAAGCGGTAAATTGTTCTCGAAACATCATCCAGTTATTCATACTATGTGACTAAATGTTATTATCAGATAAACTTTATCTAATATGGGAATTTTGTTATTTTGTTGTTCTCACTGTTCTCCTCTCCCTCACCCTCTGAGGCTACAGGTCTTTCATGGATCCGATTCAGATTTGATGTGGTTACAACGAGATTTCGGTGTATATGTGGTCAATTTATTCGATACAGGCATAGCTTCACATCTGCTGCAATATTGTCGTTTCTCGCTGAGTTATCTGTTGCATCGATTTGTTGGTGTAAATCCGAATAAGAAATATCAATTGGCTGATTGGCGTATGAGGTGGGAATTATTATTATTATTACTATAGTCTTTTTGACTATTCAGTTGGTTTTTCCTACTTGCTTGCAAATATTGCATTTTATATTTGTAGATTTTGGGTAACGCGTTGTCTTGTGCAACTGTAAAACAGTCGAGGAGATATTAGCTCGATTTAGAAGGATAATAATAATAGTTTTACTCCAAACAGTACTTTTTGGCATGTAATAATACAATATTACATCCAATTTCCTGATTACAGGGGAAATAATTAAAATAGGGCATTTACATTGATGATAATCTTCAATAAGAAATGAGAATATAAAATTAAATCAAGTGGAAACGGTAACCAAGTGTCTATCTACAATAGTATTAACGAGTTGGTTTAGCGACACTCCACTCCACTCGGCCTACTGACGGCTTTTAGTGCCCTGCGCAGTATAACAAAGTCTTTCTTAAGTAGCCTGGGAAAGATTAAGCCGAAACAGTAAAGTGTAGGCAGAATGCAAGAATTAACAAACGGTAGCAGTAGAGACGGAATGGTACTAGATCGTCTTAATTTCCTTACATAGAACGTCAAAAGAAATATCTTTCTGGAAACTAACATTTTGTGGGAAGACCAGGAAACATCAGCAGAAATACACAGTCCAAGGTATTTAGATAGTCCTAGGCTGATATCGATTAAATTAGGGGATTTAATGATGATTCCGGTCGCATTAGAACTTGAAGGAGCACTCTTCTTGTAATGTAATAACACCCCATCACTGTGTATTGATTGAGATTTAAGCTGTAGGTCTTAGTTTCACCTCAGTCGTTGGGGGTTTCACTCCTGGCTGTCACTTTGATGAGTGATAAGCAACAAACAGTCCGTTCATGATTACACAACATTGGTCGCTTAGTCAGATCTTCTTTACCCTCGCTTGAGGAGTACGTGATCAATTGTTGACAAGATCATGTTTTTCCACCAATGCGATATCTATTATGATTTTTTGATGTCGAAATGTAGGCAGTTTTTGACATATTCCTTGTTACTTATGTTTATATATTTCTTTTGTTAAAATGCTTTATTGTCGAAAGGGATAACGTTTTAGGAGGGGGGGATTCACACCTTTCTAGTTACACAATGATATCATCTACTTAACATAATGGTCACATTGCAAACTTGACTGATAGAATTCAGTCTGCACCAGACAAATAGGACTAGATGCATGGCATTAATTACCTACTACTACCTAGCGTCCGATCAAAGTATCTAATACATTCCTATGGGAGGTCAATCGAGAGACCGAATAGCTCAGTGGTAATATCTCTGACTGCAGCACTGGGTGACATGGGTTCGAATCTCAAAAGGGACATGATTTCCTTCAAGGTAGCAGATACGCCTTGCTGTGACTGGTGGTGAGTTACATCAAGAACGAAACTTAGGTCGAAGGCTTCCTGCCGATTTCCTTCAACCATCTGATAATATCTCTGAAGCCTTGAATAAAGTATGAAGAACATATTGTGCAGGATAAAATGACGTCATATTTCCTTGGTTCTCTTCAGCTGCTTACAACCATGAACAAACCTGATATCAACTTACATAATATTCAAATACTGTAGTTATTGATCATAATAGGGAGGCATATTAATACCATGTGAATAAGTAACATAATGGATGGGAATAAAAGTCGTTGTTAAGCGCTTGTTAGCGCAGAACAACACTTGAATATCAATCTGATGCTCACTAGTGACTGGCCTCTATTCAGGTAGGAAGTTACCTGGGTTCTAGTGGGAAGTGGTGACCAGCGGGGTACAGCAGGTCGGGTGTGAGGACAAATACTCGCCACGGATGACATTCGCCTGTGGTCGCGCCATATCGTGAAGTGGCAGAAGTTGGAATACAAGGGCTAGCCATTGGATCGAGTCCCAGTGGCTTAAGGGTCTACGAGCTCGCTATCCTTGTAACCAGAAGGTCATGGGTTCGACCCCTGATGGTGGGTGCGTACTGATGAGGAATCCCAAACTAGACTGACGAAACAGCTGCCCAAGTACTCCCTGGTTTTCCAATAGTCCTCTAGCCGATGTCAGTTCATGATGAAATCCTGAACAAATCTGAGTCCCAGAAAGATTTGTGGGCTGGTGGTTTGAATCATGCCACGGCCTAGTTTTGTGTTTCACCTCCAACCACCACTCACTGAATGGTGAGTTTAAAAAATTCTCAACTTCAGAGTATGTATGGAATACAAAAATTTGTGAAAAAATCAAGATAGCAGTTATTTTTATGATCCACATATGTTCTGTAGATGGTCGCCGAGTATATATTTGGAAAGAAACCGCGGTTGGATTGGTGTGTTCGGGAACATATACTTGATCTTGTTGAGTTCTCCTAGCTGGATAGCTTCGTTATGCACTCAACTTTTAACGAGTGATGGTGGTGTATCGAGTTTAAATCGTGTTCCATCTACAAAATTCAGTAGTCAGCAACATAGGAGGATCAAGCTTTTTACTAGTTGTCCAAGCACGTGAAGCTTATGTAATTGTTATTCTAAATACCGTAGGAGAGTGATGGGTTCGATTTCCTTCAAGATTGATTTCTTCTATGAGTCGATCTCAGTCAAAAAGAGACAGCCATTAAAACCCAGGTGCCACTGATCAGCTTTTTTATCGTAGTTCGGCACTCCCCAGTAGTAGTGCATCCTACTGCTAGTCGGTAACTTTCATCGATATAAATACCTCGTATTCTCCATGAGATGTCCACGATGTCGAGTGTAAGGAGAGCTACTCACAGGCGATACGGTATGACACTGATACTTGACTACAAACTGAAGAAAACTCAGAATGCATAGTCGACTACATCCCGGTTGAGTAGTTGAATGACAAAGTGCTGTCCTCGCCCTGCATATTTTCCCTTTTCAGCAGTATCTGAATCACCTGCCAACTACATGCTTGCGTTTCACCTTCAATCATCACCTCTGACTACAAAAATATCGATCGGTTTGTGAGCTAGGGCTAATTCAAAATTACTAATTAGGATATTAATAGTAGTAGTGGTGTTTCTAGCAATCTGCTGTAAAAATATCTAGTTCGTGCAAAGTTTCATTAATTTCTATACGTATTATTAGTTTTGGACGTGTAAGAGAAGCTCGTCTCTCAATTTCTCAAGGATATAGTAAAAGGTTGGGTGGAAAATTCTCTCTATCTCTCTCCTGTTCTATTCAATATTCTTCGTGTGTGTAAACCAAACTGAAGGTGTGTACAATAGAAAATGGCCCTAATTAAAAATCATTATTTCTTATATTATTATTCCAGAGTCTGTTCTCATTCGAAAGAAATGATTAATTTATAAAATGGGATGATGGTGATGAGGAGGATTAGGAAATTCGCCATAATAACCTCCATCAAATTCATAAATATATGAAAGCTAAGCATTTCGAAATCACAGTGTAATGTTACTGCCCTGACAATCTACAGAACTATTAAATAGTAGTCCGGAGAGGCAGCAGGACCAGATGGAATTCCCCACCCCTGAGGCACTAAAAACGGAATCAGAGACTGCCGCAGACGTGCTCACGCCATTATTGCAAAAGGTTTGGAAGGAAGGAAAGGTACCTGCCGATTGGAAGAAGGGCTACCTCGTCAAACTGCCCAAAGAAGGGCTATTTGGCTTCACTCTGCAAGAACTGACTGACATGGAATAATGCTCTTGTCCACGCCTAGTAAAATACTAAGTCGTATCATCCTGGAGAGAATAAAGGATGCACTGGATACAGAACTCCGCCCCACAGAACAAGCTGGATTCATGAGAGGCAAATCATGTGCTGATCAAATTGCAACTCTAGGCATCGTCATCGAACAGATCATAGAATGGCAGTCAAACCTCTACTTCATCAACTTCGAAAAGGCCTTCACCAGACAGCGTTGATCGAGAAGTAATTTGGAGACGACTTCAACACTACGGCATGCAGTGTCCAAGTCTTTATCAACCTCATTCAACAGTTGGCTACATGACAATGCCACGTGTCAGGTGATCCACAACGAGAAACTCAGCGAGGCATTCGAAGTGAATATAGGAGTTAGACAAGCTGGCTGCCTATTATCATCAAACTGAAACCAGTTTGGAAATCTTTTGCTCTCACTCAGTCAGCATAAAGAACATAGTGTGTAGTGGAAAAGTAATTAAATATGCGCGCGAGTTCATCTATTGGTCATTTGATATAATTGCATGATTAAAACAATGAAGAAGTGCAGAAGATTTTAAGCAGCATTTTGATCGATTGATGAAATTCTGGTAGCCCAGTGATATTTAAGCAGGCCGCGTGGTAAAATCTTTGAATAATAAGTATTCCTCACATTCAAATATTTCACATTACTCTTCTATGCCTTATTTATTACAATATTTTCTGTTCTATTGTATTTCTCTTCAACAATAATAATTGTTATAGACCATTACCGGATGAATTGATTGAATATGCACGCACAGATACGCATTATCTTTTGCATATTGCTAGTCGAATGTGTCAAGAGTTACATGATAGAAATTTACTGTCTATTGCTCATGAACGCGGTCGACAATTATGCCTTAAAGTAAGTTATTGTTTTTGTTGCTGCTGCTGTTGTTTTGTTTGGTAACAGTCAGAAGAATCTAGGAGGCTGGTTTCGTCCTGTTTGAGACTCGTCATCTGTATATACACTTGTCTTCCAGTGAGAGTGATAGTAGAATACACCATTGGGGGACGTAAACCTATTAGTTCTTATCGCTTCAAATGCTAAAAACAGCCTCATCCACTAGGGCAATGGGTCATGAAAGCCGCTTGTTATGCTGCTGGGGTATGATTTGATTATTTCTGATTCATGTTTCTGACTTTCCCCTTAATATATAGACTCGTTGTGTAACGATAGAACACAAGAATATTTAGAACAACACATTTAAACGAACAATATTGTGGTTTCAATTACATCTCATCATCAGGCTTAACTCTAATATGCCTACATAACTTTACAAATAAAAAATCAAATATAAACCAATCATGGTGTTTTGTCAATAGGATAATAAGATTGTGCAATTAGTCATAATAGTAGTAATAGTTCTATTAATAACAAGGGTGAAAAAGTGAGGCGATCTGTGATAACGAGAATAACAAAGAACAGCATGATTAAACAAACAAATGTTCAGGTCGACGTAGCAGTCGATAAAAGCTAGAAAAAACAAATAGACCAATTAAGTAATGCTAGATTGTAAGGGAAGTAAATGAAATACGTTTTTAATGAAGATATGATAAGATTAAGGGATGATAGAAGCGGGTCTGAAAATATAAGTAAGGGGTGGTGGGGAAGTCATCAGTTGGTTAGGTCTTAATAGGCCAAGGCCAGGATAATGACTGTACGAACTTCTTCTGAATGCATAGTTTAGGCTTAATAGTTATTCGAATGCCTGTCGCCTCAGCTGTGCGCAATATACGAATACGAAGTCTATTGGAAAGATTCGGTGGGATGCGATGAATTACCTTGAGCTAGTGGTGGTCACTCCGAAACATGGCTTTATCAGTCAGTGAAATCCATACCAGTTAGTTTGAACCACCTAGGGGAGCTGTAGGCTTTCTGGTTGGGGTCCTCGGGATGGTAAAAACCAATGACTGGAGACAGTTGTTGTTGATATGGCTCAAAATCGTTCTCAATGGCTGGTGCAGATGCATTCACTCTTCGTGATTTATAATATCCAACGAGACTATTGTTCTTCCATATTACTATTCTTTTTACCTCACACTTCTGTTTGAATCGCTCTTAACCTGCTTCTCTTGCTTTGTGCGCTGCCAGGAGTGGTGCACAAAGTTCTACATTGAAACCAGTCAGCAGTCAAACATATCTTTGATTTGGGTGTCTAAACTTTCCAATTCTTTTCGTTTCCAATTAGTGTCGTAATCTTTATGCTGATTGGTGAATATTTTCTAATTATTTTGTATACATATATCACTACTTCTTTTTGTCTAGTGTTATACAAAGCCTGTATTCAGTCGTCGTGGCTATCTGGAATTGTATCGACAAGCTGGTGGGAATAGTTTCAGTCATCGTCAGTTATATGCTCTGGAGAACCTTTATGCACTACGCGATACTATAGCTAGACGTGAAGATGAAAGTATTCAGTAGGTGTTTATAAATTTTACGTTTTCTATCAGTATATATATGTATATATATGCATAGCGCAACCAGGGACTCTGCATATTCTATCATCGCTGGCTCTGTAGAACTACTTGCGTCCCATGGCACCATCGTGGGAGTAATTCTGAGGTCCTGAGGCGTGTGTTTTGGCATCGCAAAGGTCACCATTCATTAAACGTCATCATCGGGAAACACCGGCTTCGGTGGATTGGGCATATGATACGAATGTCATCCAGTACCGGTCTTTCTGTTCGCTAGAGGTAAGTGGTCAGCCTATGCTGTGGTGTCGTTGGACCAAGGATATTTGTGTAAGGCTAGCCCTAGTTGATACATCACGACTCTCTGGTTGATGTCCGAAATAGTTTGAATCGGTGGCTCGAAACGTCATCAGGTATGTTTAAGAATTGCTTCTGTCTCTGTAAGTACTGTTAAGTATTGAATGTTGAATGGCGCTAACACAAATATGCTTGCTTGACTTCTGGACGACGTCCTTCATTCATTCTCTGCTTATTTTCTTTATGTAAAGTTTTTACGAGTTGATCACGGAGTGAAATCAGTTAGAGAACCTTTGAAAACCAGGGAGTACTGGACAGCTGCTGTTTCATCCTAGTTTGAGAATCATCGGCAGTACGCACCCACCGCCAGGGTTCGAACCCAGGACCTCCCGGTTACAAGACATGCTCGTATACCATTCCCAAACTAGGATGAAACAGCTGTCCAGTACTCCCTGAGGCTGGTTTTCAATGGTTCTCTAACTGATATCAATCCGTGATCAACTCGTAAAAACAAAACTAGCCCATACAAACCAAACTATAGAAAATTATATATAGTTGTTTTGTTATTGTTGTGTGGCGTATCTCTTGATGCCTATACTGTTCCAAGTTTGTGTTTTAAATGATTAATTTAAATAAAGACAATAGTCTTCTTGATCTAGAATAATGTAGTAGGTAATACAGTCCTGTCAGGCGAAGACATTGACAAAATACAGTGTCTTCTGAACACCTGCGGTAGAAATCTAAGTATGTTTTGACATGTGATTCGCCCTTGTAAAATGATTGTAAACATGACATGCTAAAGATTTCCAATAAACTGTTTTGTTCTCCGTTATTAATATTCCTTTGTCTCACACCTCTGTTTACTGTCTATATTATGCAGTTCTTCTACTTTCTTCTCTTGCTTTGTGTGCTACATGGAGTGTGGCGACTTGAACTGCCGCACATATGTGCAAAGTTCCATGTCGAAACCGACCGCTTTAAGATGACTCTGCAGAACAACTAGTATTTCACCGACATCTAGTTTTAAGATACGGATCCAGTCATATCAAAAACACACTTTGATGTGACAGAATTTGTGGTACTATCGAACAACAATGCCGTTCAGTCCAAACGTTTCTGGAGGTACAAAGTACGTACTAGAAAATCAAATTAACTGACCACAGTCAGTCTTAAGGAAGCCCGCGAATCAATCGGAACTTTCCAAACAGGTGAAGATCGAAACTTTGTCTGCAAAATTCAATTAGAATGAAGCATGTTTCCCCAAGATAGACAGTTCAAGGTCAAGTAATCATTTCGTGGTGTAACCTTGACTCTTCAGTCGAACAAAATCACAGTCTTAAAAACAACACGTTATTTATGAACACTATCGAATACTGGTAAAGAGAAGTATTACAAATAGGAAGCAAATACAAAAACAAAGACGATTAATTGGGATTAAGTGAAAGTGAGATATGCAAATGTTAGAACAATTTTATACACAAAGAAGGGTAAAGAATTCATCGAAATATTCAATATAAGTATCAGTATTGTAAATGGACTGTTGTTCATGAAGGGATTTTCAAATTAGTTGTTCTGTTGTATACAGAGGCTATACTACTGTGTAATTTACTCATTACTTTTTAAGACAGCTAAAATTTTGTCTCATAGTTGTGTAAGTTGGATATCACTATCATTAACCAGTAGTGTACTCTAGGCAGATTGACAGCGGCCTGCTTAAACCACCACTGGGCTACTTCAGTTTCCATCCAACGCAATGCATCGTATTTTCTCTAATTCCTGTTGTTTTCTAATCATTCAGGTATGTCTTTGAGTCACAAAATGTGCTCATGCATATTTTTCATTACGTCGGTGGCACAGTGGTAGAATGCTCGCCAACTACGCCGGGGTTCGATTCCCGGCCGACGCACTCCTTTACCTCGCTAAGCCAGTAATAAGACTGGTAAAGAGGGACGGTTGGGCATGAGGCGGCTAGCAACCCGATCCCGTAAAAATAGAACACCACTGCTACCGAAACTTCAAGCGTCCAGCTTGAAGCTCTATGTCCCACCACTGGGAACGTAAAGGAATAAGAAAAAATATGTTTTTCGTTGGCTTTCAAACTACCGGTGGGCATTTCTCGGAGACGATGGAAAGGTTATTATTATTTCCTTAAATTCCCAGTGGAACAGCACATCTCCATTTAATAACAATAATAATAATAGCTTTATTCCAAATAGTATTTTGGTACAAATATCGAAATTTCAGTATGTAGTACAGTATTGCATCTAATATTCTTGTTACAGCGATAATATTTAAAACAGAGCATTCACACTGATAATATTGTTCAATAAGAATATGCATATAAAATTAAATTAAGTGGAAATATTAACAACAATATAATAATGAAGAAAAAGAAGGTCGGTTAGTTAATGTTCCTCAGTAAATAAAAAGTGTCACACATTGCACTTTCCTCATCATATAAAATATGTGTCAAATAAGGTATTCTTGAATTTTTGTACTTACTCGTCCGAGCGTATAGTCTTCTATAGTTGCTTCTAGTTCTACCTGCTGAGATACAAGAAGAGAGGATGCTCCGGGTCCGACAAGACACTATTCCCTAATTTCTTGCATTATTCCAAATGTCTATCTACAACAGTACTGGCGGGTTGGTTTAGTAACACCTCCACTCACCCTATTGCCAGCTTTTAATGCCCTTCGCAGTGTAACAAAGTCTTTCATAAGTAGCCCAGGAAAGATTAAGAGGGAGCAATAAAGAAGGATAGGCGGAATAAATTACAAACTGTTCTCTGCAATCCTCTTCAGTTTGGCCCCATGATTGCCAATAGACCCTCATCTTTTCCCCACACACGATCTCCTCCATGTCACCCTTGGACTCTATACCCAACTTGTCGTTTCCCATTCAGGTTCCACTTAAGGCTCTGTCTAGTTTGCACAGTGTCACTCAACGATCTCCTCAGCATGTGTCTGATCCATCCTCATTTTCTTCTGCGTACTTGTTGAACGGTATATTTTGGATTGGTTCGTTCCCAGAGTTTCGTGTTGCTAATTCTTTCTAGCCAACCAGGTATTTGATCCTCAGTGCAGAGTGAAGGGATTACTGTTCGCTTCAGGATGAATAACATCGCGTCACATGATATACTATAAATCGTTATTTCACTTCAGTATCCTGGAGGAACAGAAAATATTATGTAATAAATTGTGCTGAGAAATTTGTATGTTGTCTAGCCATTTTGTCTAGAATAAAGCTATTATTATTATTAAAAAGTGACCTAAATATTTATTCCAATTAATTAGTAGTATATACCATCCCATAGTTTTGTTCTAGTTGAAAACAATTTATTCAGTGATCGTTATACAAATTGTATAATCTGTGCTTTTGTTATTTTATACATACATACATATATGCATTGTATTTTCACAGTTATGTATTACCAAATCATATGTTGAAAGTGATAGCTGAAGAATTACCACGTGAATCCTCTGGGATATTTGCTTGTTGTAATCCTATCCCACCGCTGGTGCGTAAATATGTTCATGATTTGCACAAAATTATACTGGATGCAAGAGAGCTGCCTTTAACTGATCTGGTTAGTTATTGTTTTATTAGTTAGTGTTGACTATTATTTCACATATCTTTTTGTTGTTGCATTTCAGTGTCGATGAACTTTTCTGTCGAAAAAGCTGTTGCTTTATAATTTTTTTTTTTGGCTAAACTGTCCAGTCTATCAGTATAGGTAGGTAGTTTTTTACGGGAAGGGGAACCAAGTGACAATAGCCTGATATCTATAATCTCCTCAAGTTTTAATGCTTTTAAAAATGACCAAAAAGAGACGTGCGTTGGTGGTTCAGTTGTAGAATACTCACCAACCACGTTTCACGTGGTCCGGGGTTCGATCTCCGGTCGCCACACTCGTAAACCTCGCTTAGCTGGTGGTAGTAAGCTCGGTAAAAGGGGGGGGCGAAGATCGGGCGTGAGACTAGCAATCCTATTGGGTGAAAAGGTATACATCATTGCTACTGAAACTTCGAAGCTAAAGCTAGTAGAAGGTCTATGTTCCGCTTGAAATGCGACAGGAATAAAAAAGAAACAAAAGACATGTCTTCCGACCCTAGGATACTTTTACTATCCTTTTAAAATCAATACTACTCGTTATTATTATCATTGTTTCCTTTAGTTCCTAGAGGAATAAAGGGCTTCAGCCACACGTCTCCATTGCGTTCGGTTCTCTGCCAACGTCTGCATACTGTTCGTTATTCACCTCTAACTACCATCCGATTGGTGTACTTACCTGTTCCTTATTGAATGATGATTTTCCCTTTGGTACTTGAATCCAACATGAATGCACAGTCACATTTATTTTGTGAGAGAAAGTGAAGTGTGAGACTTCGGATTTCAGAACATGTGTGTGTATATATATCCCAGTAGACTTGTCCCTGTAGAACAAGACATATCAGTTATAAATGAAGTTCAAGAACACTATTGTGTGTGTTGGCTGTAGATGTCTAAATGTTTTGCGTTAACTAAAATACCTTGTCTACACTGAACACATAATGTCAACATCTTCCTTGTTCAGAGGTAATTACAATATGGAATATGACGTCGTGGCAAAATCAATCAGTGTCCACCATTTTCTATGACTAGAACTCTAATAAGACGATGATCAAAAGTAGAGTTCCGCCTTTTTCTTTTTAAAGACATCTCTTGTTTTATTGGTTGGAGGATTTCATCATGAGCTGACATCACTTAGAGAACCACTGGAAAACCTGGGAGTACTGGACAGCTGTTTCGTCCTCGTTTGGGACCCCTCAGCAGTACGCACCCACAGGGATTAGAACCCAGGACCTTCTGGTTACAAGGCGAGCTCGTAGACCATTGAGCCACTGGGACCCGATCCAATGGCCCGTGAATTCTAACTTCTGCCAATTCACGACATAGCGCGACCATTTCGCAATGTCTTCTTCGATGAGTTACTGCCTCGTCTTTGACCTGCTGTACCCTACTGGTCATGGCTTCCCTTCTCTTGTTTTCTCAAGAATTTCATCTTTAGTTTTTCCAAGCTTTTACTCTTCTATTGCTTCCATTGTTGTCTACATCTTATGTGACGTTAACTCTGTCGTGTTTATATTTATAACCCACTCATCCAATTTTTTGGCCTAGATACACGACTTGTCTTTCAAACCTTATCATCTTTATTCGTATACTTTTTATATCCTGACTACTACTCTCACTACCTCAATGGATTTTGGTATTTTCATGAGTTTGTTTCAAGTTTGACCAAGGATTGATATCAGTTAGAGAATTATTGGAAACAGGGGAGTACTGGACAGCTGTATCGTCCTAGTTTGCGACACATCGTCAGTACGTACGCACTGGGTTTCGGACCAGTGGAGTCCACCCGGCCGGGAGTGGAGACAAATATTCACCGATGACATTGGTTGGTGCAAGTTGCGCTAAAATCATGAATTGATCGAAGTTAGAATTCATGGGTCATTGAGTCGGATCCCAGTGGCTGGGATGGTCTACGAGCCTGCCTTCCAACCAGAAGGTTGTGAGTACGGATGCCGGTGGATGGGTGTTGCTGAGGAGTCATAAACCGGGACTAAACAGCTATGCAGTACTCCCTAGTTATCAATGGTTCTCTAACCTGGATCAATCCGTTATCAAACTTGTATTTTGGTATTTCCCAAGCTTGTTGTTAATCTGTTTTGTTTGTTTACAAGGCATTGTAACAAACATATTATTGCTATTGACCCCGGATTGTAAGAAAATGAACTCATTCAAAAAAGTCTGTCTGATTAGATTATTTGCTTCTTTTTCTCCTTATGACATACTCGTTTAGATTGTGGGTTTCCAGTAAAAGTTTTGGAAATTTTCGACTAACTTTTAGACACGATTTAATCAAATGTTAGAAACTTGTTCACCGCATCGATCTGGGTGTTCAACTATCAACCAACCAGATGGAATCCACTAGACGTATTTCGTCTTGTTTTTAGGACTAAATCAAATGGGTGTATGTTCCTGCTTCCCAGTGAATGATGATGTTCCTATTGAGGTTCAAAACCTTCACTTCTGTTGAATGAACACAGTCACGATTTATTTGAATTTCATAACGCCTGTGTGTATATCCCAGTTGACGTATTTTCACATGAATCGCGCTCATTTTATGTGGGGACTGATGATACTATCCATTCTGAAGTTTTCTGAGCTCGAACTTGTTACCCATTGGTTGAAAGTTAAGTGTTTTTCAGCCAATAAGCTTACATGTTCACCATACCTCATAAGACCAACATTGGAATAAATTTCACCTGGCAATTCATTTGTTGTTTGTCTTAGAATGACGTATTATTTTACACACAAAGTTGCTGCAGTTAATATTGAATAAAATTATCACATCTATGCCGCAAACAGTGCAGATTTTGACATATACTGCAAGTATATCAGTCCTAGAAATTAAGTTGCATCATTTGTTGTCATACAAGATGCGTGGAGAGGTGTCATGTGAGAATAGAACTTAAACGCTGTGGTAAAAAGTATAATTCCATCACATAGAGTAGACTTATTTGATTAAGTCTCACAGTGTTATACAGTAATTTATTTATTGTAAATAACTGTGCATAACGCTCTGAGACTTTATCAAATAAGTTTACTGTGTGTGTGGAAATGTGGCTTGTTGGCTCAATCACTTGGTTTTTGTTATGACCTGAACTGCGGCCTATGAGCGAATATTAACTTAATGCGCTGGCTAATCTGTCCAAATAGCACGAAAACAATAACACCGCCCGCACGCAAACACAAAAGAAAAGACTGAACGTCGATAAGAGAGCTTTTACTGTCTCAAATAACAGACGAAATGCTATACAGAAACTCTGTATGTATACAGTTGTTTTTTTAATTTTTTAAAATATTTTTATTGCTTCACGTTCCCAGTGGAACATACGGCTTCAGGCTAGAGGCTTGAAGTTTCTGTAGCAATGGCGTTTATTTTTACGGGATTGGGTTGCTAGCCTCATGCTCAACCTTCCCTCTTTACCAGTCGTTTTATTGACTTAGCTAGGTAAATAAATGCGTCGGCCACGGATCGAACCTCAGACCACATGCCTGGTCCTTAAATATGCAGTAATTCAGTGATGCATTGAAAGTATTAGCAGCCAGTAGGAATCCAGCAGTCCGAATAGCGGGAAAAACTAAGGGCTCACGCCAGTGCGTGATAACTCCTTCGAATAGTTATTTTCAGGTTTTTGGGCAAAACTAGGTGTATATAACAGTTTTCAACTGATAAGTCACGGGTTCGGGTCCCGCTCCACCTACTTCATCAACTGAGTAGTATCACCAGCCTTCACATGACTAGTGTGGCTGTTAGCCTGTTACATGACAAATTTGTTCCAGGTGATTGAGCGAAAACAAATAGACAAAAGGTGTAACTCATGGTTTAGTGCAGTAATTCATTTCTGGGTGAGGAGTACCTTTAATATATATAATAACCTTGTTACGCGTGTACATTTAATGCATATATATATATATTCTGACCTGTAGGCTAGAACTAGTGTTCCTGAAGGTCCTACCATCATTCTAGAAAGGTTGTTTAGATAGCGATTAGATTAAAAGCAGTTCCTGACATAGTATTGTATAGTGTTTACACTGTTCTTGGGGTCTGTGGACAAAGTCGTACTGCTGGGAGGACTGGATGGATAAGAGAAGAAAAGTGTTTCGCTCAGATGAACAGCAGTATGCCAGCTATGCTGCCTCTTCACTCTGGAAAGGAGGAGAGGGGAGTTAGAAAAGGTCAACCTCAAAGACTGTACATCCCCCGCTTATCGTACCGGTGGGTCGTACCTCTGGTAGCAAGTTACTAATACGGAAACAACACTAAAAACCAACTCAAACAGGCGGTGTGTAACTGGCGGTCACGCAACATTAATTCTGTTTCTGTTTCGAATTCTATGATGTGGAGAGCTGGGAAGCAACAACCGCCCACACAAATATAATATATATATATATATGTGCGTCGGTGGCACAGCAGTTAGGACGCTCGCCGACCATGCACATGGTCCAGCAGTACAACTTTGTCCACAGACCCCAAGAACAGTGTAAACACTATACAATACTATGCCAGGAACTGCTTTTAATCTAATCACTATCTAAACAACCTTTCTGGAATGATGGTAGGACCTTCAGGAACATTAGTTTTAGCCTACAGGTCAGGATATATATATATATATATATGCATTAAAAGTACACGCGTAACAAGGTTATTCAGCAAAATGTAACTGACAAAGTACAAGTAAACAGCTATTTCTCAAATAAAAAATATTTAGGCCAGACATATATATATATGCGTATATGTATGTTTATATGTATAGTAGTCACAAGGTTTCACTAAATACCTATTGTAATTAAAGCCAACAGTGTTTTCTATTAACCAGCCAGAGAGAAAGAAAGAAAGCCAAAAAAGCACAAACAAACTAACCTGGATCATAATAATTGGATCAGTATGAGAAAGATATTTTTTCCCCTTGTGATTGAAAAATATATGTCTGGACGACAATATTAAAAGTGAAGCGCATTTTGTTTATCAAAACAATGATT